TGATCTTTTGTGACTGCCTTCTTTCATGTAGCGTAAGTTTTCAAGAGGTAACCATGTTGTAGCTTGAAACAGTGCTTTCTTCTTGATTGCCTAATAACATTTTGTTGTACAGATGTAAGTCATTTATCAATTTATCAGTTGATGGATATTGGAGTTGTTTCTGCTTTCTGACTGTTATAAATAATGCTTCTACGAACATTTATGTACAAGTTTTGGGGTGGACACATATTTTCATTTGTCTTGGGCCTACAACTAGGAGTGTAGTTGGTGGGTCCTATGGTAACTCCATGCTGAGTATTTTGAGGAATTGCTGGAGTGTTCATACATGCTTTTATGCATGTTAATCTATTGGTGTCTTGGTGCTGTTCTTATAGATTTGCATGAACTCTTTATATAAGGTCAGTGTTAACCTTGTATACTTGCAGAAAGTATTTTAATCCCCATATTGCTTGCCTTTAATTTGGGTAATGAATTTTGTGTGCAAATATTTTTCAGTTCTACATTGTCAGTTCAGTCAATATTTTATTTTGTAACTGGTTTCATTGTTACTAAGCTTTTTAAAAAACCATTCCTTGGCTGGGCAAGGTGATACATGCCTGCAGTCCCAGCTACTCAGGAGGCTGAGGAGGAAGGATTGATTGAGCCCAGGAGGTTGCAGCTACAGTGAGCCATGATGGTGCCACTACACTCCAGCCTGGGCGACAGAGCGAGTCCCTGTCTCAAGAAACAAAAAACAAAAAACAAAAACCCTATTCCTCTGAGGAGTTTGAGCCATATTAATGTTTATTTTCTTGTAATTTTCTATATTCTTTAAAAATATTTCATTACTTTATTTAGGTTATTTGGGTGGATGGTGTCAGATTAACATTAAAATGGATTTTTACTCCCAATTATCTAACCAGTTGTACCATTACCATTTTTCTTAACACTTCCTCTCTTCCCTGCTGAATTTGTCTTGATACTGCCTTTTTATTGATTATTAATTTTTTTTTTACATGTTCTAATGTCTGTTTTGGTCAGCATGCCTATTCCTGCACCAGGACCACATTGTTTAAATTATTGAAGGTTTAGAATATGTTTTGTACCCAGGAAAACAGCAATATTTCCTTCAACCCAGCACCTCATATTTAATAATCGTTTTCAAAAATTTCTTAGTGACTCTTATTTTTTTCCAGATGGTTCCCAGCTTTTTCCAAAGTTTTGTTATGTTTTCTAAATACCGCTGGAATACTTATTGTGCTTGCATGAAACGCTCAGTTAAACTTTAAGAGACTTGACATTTTAATAGCAGCAAATTTTGTCATCCAGGAACCTGGTATATCTCTCTGGTTATAGTTTTTTGAAAAAGCTCAGCCAAGTCTTATACTCATTTTATGCAAATCACATATGGTTTACTCCCCACTGGAGCAGATCCAGGTTCTGAGGGGCCCAAAGCTTATATGATTTTGGGGAGTTTTCTTAAAGAAAATGAATACAAAATTACAAATACAAAATTAGGTACCTAATCTTGGAAGGAGCCTGGGCAAGCAGTGGGCTCTGGGGCTGCCTTTATTTTCTAGGCAGTTGGCCTCTTTTCACAGGTATGTCTTTGCTGATCTTGTTATTATATATTTGTAATATATTATCTTGTGTTCCCATAGGAATTAAAGAATCTATGAACTAAACTTAGAAAATACTTTGAAAAAATCTGTTTTCTACTTTTCCATTTTGGAATTTCTATACAAATAATCTTACTGTATGTGACTAGCAATAACTTTATATCATCTTCTATAATATTTTTTCTACATCTTAAACTTGTTGAGAAAAGGATCCATATATTGAAGATCATTAATAAATGTTTTTAGTGATGACTACTAACCTAAATAAAGGAGTGTATTTACTGAGGCCATAGCTAGATGAATTTGCTCCTCACCAAGTTTCATGCTTCAGATGCAACATAATTTTGCCCATAATGCAGAGTGTAGGCTACAGACCTGTATATATAGAATAATATAACTTGCATCATAGACTGGGTTTTTAATACAACCTTTTTTTTTTTCTTTTAGAGACAGGATCTCACTCTGTTGCCCAGCCTGGAGTGTAGTGGTACGATCATAGCTCACTGTACCTTTGAGCTCCTGGAGTTAAGCAATCCTCCTACCTCAGCCTCCAAAGTAGCTAGGACTGCAGGTGTGTGCCACTATGCCCAGCTAATTTAAAAAAAAAAAAAGTATTTATTTTTCTTTTAAGAGACATGGCGTCTTGCTATGTTGCCCAGGCTGGTCTCGAACTCTTGCACTTAAGGAATCCTCCCACCTTAGCTTCCTGAATCACTTAAGATTACACGCACAAGGCACCACATCCAACTTTACTATAGTTTTAATGCTGTGAACTCAGAGTATATGTATAAAGACTTCAACAGTTTTCATTCTAGAAATTATTCAAGTAACTATGTATTTGACCTGGTTTCTTGGATCAAAAATAGCCAAATGAGAAGAAAAGCTTCCTAATTAAATAGTCCTGAACATAAGTTAATGACTAGATTTAAAGAGTCTCGCTAGGGATTTATTCTATTTACAAAACAAAAAATATTAGAAAGGTTATTTAGTATATGTATCCTACTACTACTACAGCATTTTATAAGATAAGGGATCTAATTTTCACAGGTCATTTGAAAATTGCATATTTTAGAAATTTCAGAAGATACATCATTTATCATTTCTGTTTTACTCTTCGATGTTTTTGAATTCTAATATAGAGATTGTAGGACAACAGAAGAATGGACAGTTCAACTTATTAGTTAAATTAACTGTCACCTTTGTAGCTGATACATATTTTGGAAAACTCACAAAATCCTGTAGTACCCAAAGCATCCCACCAAGTGCTTTAGAGGTATGCAACACATTGTGGTTTATGGCACTGAGAACACCAACCCTAGTCCCTAATTATCCAAATAATCAAGAATACGGGGACGTTTTTAGTTAAGACCTTTGGTTTTAATAACCGAAGATACCTATTCACAATAAAGAATTCTCAGATAATTGTGATTATAACTGCTAGTTAAGTTTAGTTGCATATTAACTAAATGTTTGAGACATGGGATTAAGAAGGGACGTGGTAAAACACAAGCAGCTTTAAGTGATTTAATTAGCACACCAAAAAGGTGGAGGGAAAAGCTCACAGGCTCACCTTAAATTGTTTTCAGGCCAGGTGCGGTGGCTCATACCTGTAATCCCAGCACTTTGGGAGGCGGTGGCGATGGGGTGGGATGAGGCCGGATTACTTGAGGTCAGGAGTTAGAGACCATCCTGGGCAAAGTGACAAAACTCCGCCTCTACAGAAAACAAACAAAAATTAGATGGGCATAGTGGCAAGTACCTGTAGTCTCAGCTACTTTGTGGGGTGGGGCAGGAGGATCACTTGAACAGGGAGGTCGAGGCTGCTGTGAGCAGAGATTGCGCCACTGCACTCCAGCCTGGGTGATAAAATGAGACCCTGTCTAAAAAAAAATTGGTTTTTGTTAACATGATTTAATACCTATTAGATTTTGTCTTTGTCTAAACATAAGGAAATAACAAAAACCCTATACTTTATATGTGCTTTCGGAATTGGGAACCACAGAAAAATCCATGAAGGTTTAGGATGTTTTCAAGTGTGTGGAGGTTTTGAACATTTCTTTTCATAAATCTCACCTTTTTCCACCTCCAAATGGACTTTTGAGGAATAAAAATGGATAACTGTGAATTAATGCAAAGAAAAATATTTATTGAGATGCACAACATACCACCCAGATCAAAAGCCTATAGTTGGAACAAGACAGTTAAAAACATGACAAAACATAATAACCTTTCATTGCATTAAGAGGCGAGAAAAGAAAGAAATGAATGACCGTGTAATGTTCTATCCCTTCCAGTGGAGAACTTCTGCATGGAATATTGTGATTAGCATGGTGATTGTGTCAGCTTTAAGCTTTTATCACTGTCTAGGTTTTAAAGCAGGGCATGCAATATTGTATCTTAAAAGCACTTTAATTTTTAAAAACCCCAGAGAGCCTTTAAGTGAGACTTAATTAAAATTCAAATCAACCTTAGATGTATGTCCAAGACAGTTTTCAAAAGACCTGTACAACCTATGTTCCTTTGATTCCATTCCCTTTCCAGTGTTATCTCCAGTTGCTCTGGGCAGCACGCACTTGGCCAGCGAGTTTGGAAATTCATGAGGGCATTCTGGGGTTGACACAATGATTTGATATAGGGTATCACTGACACTTAGAGGAGGGGACCAGGTTTGCCTGATGGCCCCAAAGCTTGATTTGGTTCTGCACAATGAAAAATGTTCCGGCCCTGCTAGTTTCAAAAGATGCCCTGAACAATATCCTATGACAAATATGGCAGTAGTACTTTTAATACAGATCTAAGTCAGCAGCCTTCCATGTGAAGGAATATCGAAAAGTTTTAAAAGAAGCTACACAAAAGGGCTCCTTACTTAGGAAAAAGTCCTTATGTAGAGGAAAGCTTAAACGACATAAAGATATTGCATAAGAATCATCAAACAACTTACTCTTTCTGTGGATCCTGGCTTTGTTAGAAGTTTTGTTTTGTTCATTATAGGGGGTTTTATTGGCATTAATTTGATGTTTTAAAGGTTGACATTACAATATTACTGATCTTGATGATTGAGTTTAAATTTAAGGAACCCTTAAATTTTGTGCTCGAAATCAGTGGTTGACTCGTCTCTCTGTTGGCATAGCTCTGGTGTTCACAGTTTACAGGGGAAAGGATTTTAATGCAGCTGCACATTTATTGCAAAAGCAAGAACAATCAAAATTATGTTGTGTAATTGAGGAGATTTGGAAATTACTAGACTAAAAAACTGAATATTACTAAGAAGTAAATGAAATACAGAAGTCACAATACATTAATAAATGTTATTTTAAAAATATTTTGTATTATTGCCATTCTCTGTATTTTTTTTAATGCAATACAAAATTGTGTGAAAATCACAAACAATCACCCACAATATCCCGCCCAAGAAAGAACCCATAGACCAGCAGCCCACAAGACAATACAATGGATGGGAGCAGCTTCCATTACTTTCAAGGGAGATTTGAGCTCTCTGGGAAGAGCAAACAGTATCCAGCAGATGCATTGGAGCCCCAACCTGGCATTGGAGATGTCAAGGACATTGAAAAAGCAAGAAAGTCTATGCTAGACCCAGCACACAGATCTCATTTTCACCTTACAACCCCAAGCTTAGTATTTTTGTGTTTTATATTCGATGGATTACGCAAGGCACTACTCAGTGTTGGTGTGAGCAAAAGGTCTAATATTGTGATTGGGAATGAGAACAAGGAAACAGATACTCTTTATGCTAGCAAATTCGAAGATGTTATGCCTAACTTCACCGCCCTTGAGATGTCATCAATTCTCCGTCACTGCTGTGATCTTCTGATAGGCGTTGCTGCTGGATCGAGTGACCCGATATGCACCAACAGCCTCCAAGTACAGAGACAATTCAAGGCAATGATGATATCCATTGGAAGACATTTGCATGGTAAAAGTGCTGATTTATTAATTAACTATAATGCAGGGCCAGCTATATATTGGATCAACTCAAGACCATGGGTTGGAGGATTAATGTTCACATTTCTTTTTTTTTTTTTTTTTTTTTTTGAGACGGAGTCTCGCTCTGCCGCCCAGGCTGGAGTGCAGTGGCCGGATCTCAGCTCACTGCAGGCTCCGCCTCCCGGGTTCACGCAATTCTCCTGCCTCAGCCTCCCCAGTAGCTGGGACTACAGGCGCCTGCCACCTCGCCCGGCTAGTTTTTTTTTGTATTTTTTAGTAGAGACGGGGTTTCACCGTGTTAGCCAGGATGGTCTCGATCTCCTGACCTCGTGATCCGCCCGCCTCGGCCTCCCAAAGTGCTGGGATTACAGGCTTGAGCCACCGCGCCCGGCCTAATGTTCACATTTCTATTCGGAGAATTTGAATCCCTGCATGTGAGCTACTTGATCAAGTTAAAGTAGTTGCCAACAAAGCACAGATGACGACACTACACTGTGCTACTACACTGTGGGAATGTTCCTGGATCAGTGCATGGATGGTTCCATTGCTTTACCTGCTGTTGTGTCTGAGATTCCAGTTTTTGAGCAGAAGAAAGCACTGGTTAAAAGGGCACTTGGAGATTTCTTTGAATTTGGGGGTGTACTTCGCCACCCTGTTATTGGGGAGCTATCACCACGAATGTTCCCAAACCTAGCAACAGCAGCAAACTACTGGGCCAAAAGAAGGAATCCCACATTTTCTGGATTTGAAGCCCTTGACTTTATACCAGGATCAACTATTACACTCCGTCTAGTTTGAATGACATCTGCTCGGAAAATCTCCAGAGGAAGTGACATGGATCCATATACACTTAACATCCTTCGCGGGTACGGGAGTTTGGGATTTGACTAACAAATACGTGAACTAATCCTTGTATTTACATATAAAAAGAAATTATGTGAAAATCACATTCTAAAATTACCTGAGTGTTACCTATTGTTTTCAATCTTGGTCTGATATGTCTCTGACATCTATTGTAACTTCTCTATAATCTTTTATTTACTTCTTTAAAAGAATCCATCCAATATTCTCTGGCCACTGAAAGATGTGATCTCCAAAGTCTTTTTAAGTACTGGAGGCTAAGAATATGCTTTGACATGTGGTAGAATTTTGAAATAATTGAAATGTTTTCTGTAGTCACATGCGTTTTTAAATTTTATTCTTTATAGATAAGGCCCAGATCGTTTTTAAGATTATTGTATTTCTTCTCTAATTTGTCTTGATGATTTTTTATAATTATGTTGAAATAAATCTGATGCATTATTTATCCTAGCACAATTTTTTGTTATGGTTCTGGTGTTCTCCTGTACCTCTGTTCATTTCAGGAGATCTCTTTTATGGAATGACTTATTATCTTTTCTTAAATCAAAATGTAATCATTAAGTCAGTGCAAGGATCTGGCTATTTTAATGGATCTTGTAGTGTAGTCATATCTGAGCATTTACATATTGAAATACATGGTATGAATTATTTTCCTTTTAGTTCTCTGTTAAACTGTTGAGATGCTATTTTCACTTCTAAAACATTGTTTATGTAGTTAGATTATATCACCCAGGAATTTCATTCCCAAATATGTAATGGATTATGTTTCCAAAGGTGGCCATAGCAATATCTCCCATTCCACATCTATTTTCTTTCTGCAGACCAAGCCAGGTGTGCGGTGGCGCAATCTCTGCTCACTGCAACTTCCGCCTCCCAGACTCAAGCGATTCTCGCCCTTCAGTCTCCCAAAAAGCTGGGACTACAGGCGCACGCCCAGCTAATTTTTTGTATTGCCCAGGTTGGTCTCGAAGTTCTCGGCCTCCCAAAGTGCTGGGATTACAGGTGTGATCCACCGCGCCCGCCCCACATGTACATCGAATATAACCGCCATTTCAACATCAAGAGGTGGGATCTGTTTTCCCTTTCCTTGAATGTGGGCTGGTCCTGTGACCTGTTTTGGCAATAGAATGCAGTGAAATAATGTTGTGTAAGTTTGGGGCTTGGCCTTAAGAGGCTTGCAGCTTCCACCTTTGCTTCCAGGAATGCTCTTTCTTTGAACCTTGCTGCCATGCTACCAGGAAGCCCGAGAAGCCACATGAGAGGTTGACCTGGAAGAAAAGGGTGGTCCTAGGCCAGCAGCCCCAGCTGAGCTCCGGATTAGCAGCCAGTGCCAGCTCAGTTATGTGAGTGAGGCCACTTTGACTTCTTAGAGGCCCAGAGCCCCAGCTGCCGTTACTTTGTCAAGCAGAACTGCCCAGTCAACCCACAGAATCATGAGAAGTCATATATTGCTGTTTAGGATGGTTTATTTCACTCGGTAGATAAAATAGGCTATCAAAGGGAGTCATTACAGCATAATCCTTATAAAAAAGAGTTGTTAAATCAGACATTGTTGAGAACCACTGTCACAGACAGTAAACACGTTCCCCTTATGACTTTTAAAAGGTTCAGCAACTTGCCAAGATTTTTTTTCCCTAACAATAGATCACTTGGATTAAAAACCAGTCAGTTCCCAGATTTAAAAAGACAACCAATAAGGCAGAAACTTGCTACATCAATTTCTGAATTTTTATTATTCTCTCTCATTTTAAGAGGGAAATTCATTATTTTCTATCGGAAGGTAAAAAACGTGGCTAGAATTAGCTGTGAGACAGTGGTTGCCATCGTATGAGTCAAAAACTGGTGAAATTTCTCCAACTCTATGCTTACCAATCATTGTGTGCTAATTCTCAAATGTATACAGATGTCGTTATGATTAGAAAAATACAAATTCACTCAAAAGCACCACTAATTTTATAGTTTCTTTTTTGGTCATTATATAATTTTCAGTTGTGGAGGGATCTGAACATTAAAACAGAGTTCTCATACTTGAAATATTGGGAAACCCACTGCTGGAGGTCCCTAAATCCAGCCGCTAATGGATTTGTAGCTGCTAGTATTCCTTCAGATGAATCACTCTCTTCTCTCTATTTGGTTTCTGGATCTTGAAATCATTTGGTTTCTCACAGTAAACTGAACAATGGACTAGGAAAAGAAATTCCATAGAAAAGTTAGATTAGAACTTTTAGTGGCATTTTGTAGGGTAACATAGACTTTCATTAACCATCATGAAGGAATTGCCTCATGGAGCCATTTTTAGAAAGCACAGACTTTTGTCTGTGGTTTCTGGGTTGGTGGAGGTCACTGTGTTGGTGGAGATACAAGTAACTGGGAATAAATGGAAAAGCTAGTGGTTGTACACGAATGAATAAAAATTCATAGTAATTTATGGTATTTGAATTGAATGCTGTACACAAATAAGGATATATTCTGGAAGTCCTAAGTCAGGAAATGATGTTTATTGAATCTGAGCATACCTTTAAGTATTTTAAATAACCTTTTAAACATTTTATGCTTCATATTTTTCAAAGAATTTTCCTGACTGTTATCTACCTCACGAGTGTCTTGAGGATCTACTGAGATATTATTCTCCCTACTTATAGACCAGGAGGCTGAGGGCACAAAGAGGTGAAGTTATTTGGCAACAGTCCAAGGTGAATTGCAGATCCCGGAGAGCGGCTCAAGTCTGTGAGCCCTCATTTAGTGCTTTTAGAGGAAATGTGATCTTTAAGATCAAAGATTTATAAAACGCCTGTTCTTATCAAGCACGGACACTAGATCTACCAACCCTTATGGAGATTAGCTTGATGTCATTAGCCAGGGAGAACTTGCTCCAATACCAGAGAGTGGGTGGGGGAGGGGGACACACACACATGAAACAAAGTGAAAGCATCACTATATTCACTTGCATATTAAAGTGATTTCATATACTTATTGTTCTTCTTTGTTACAGGTGATTGACATTTTCTTATAATCGAATAGAGTGAATGAATAAAAATGTCTTTAGAGATCTATTACTGCTATCGTCATTAATCTGTAACATACAATTTAAGCAAAGTGTGCTTACTGTGTAATTCATTTTAAAGGCAATTCCTGTAGCTTTCCTCTCAACTAGTCTGCCATCACCAAGCATCTAGGTGGACCCTAGAACTACCAATGTTGACCTTCAATTGAGTATTTGATGCATTTTAAATGGTTTTTACCCATAATTTAAACATAGACCAACATAGAAGTTTAACAGTGTAAGAGAAAGACTGAGGTTTAAAATAACTATGTTGAGATTCTCTGGTGTAAAAAAACTGGAGGACTGTTTTGAGTTAATTTGCATAAATATTGGCAGAAACTTTAGCTATCATTGATCAGCAGGTGTTTGCATTTTTAAAATCTTATAAATGTTGGTGTTCAATGCAAATCCTTTAAGTTTTAAATTTTGCTAACCAAGATTTAACAGTAGGGAGAGGAGAAGGAGGAAGTAAAGAAAAACTGCTGTCCATTTTCATCACTCTTTCATAAAAGGTGGGACTCAATTTCAAAATAGAGGACGGTTGTTTAAATTGAGAAAAGTTGGCTTCATGGACAGCTGTTACACAGCCCTTCTTTCCTTGCTATGCTGTGGACTGGTGGAAATTTAATGACAGAGGGAAGTCGCTTAACATGCCTGCACTGGGAACCACAAACCTAAGCCAATCTCTTTGTTTTATGGATGAACAAATTAGAATTCCTGTCCATGGATATCTAAACATACTTTAAGAAGCTCAGTAAGGCTGATGCATGAGTGTTTCTTTTTCTTTTTTTTTTTTTCTGAAGACAGCTTCATTCTCTGCTTGTGCTGGCCAAAGCCCCTTAGAGATCATGTACCTAGAAAGGCCCAGTCATCATTTCCAGTAGCCATTAGAGTTCCTTGATTGTCATGTCAAAAAACGATGCTATTTTTTCTGGTAAATAATGGCTTCTTTTCCTTTATATTGTTGCTGGAGTAGTCAAAAAAATTTAATTTCTCTGATCTGAAATCTGAGTGTTCTGGCTACTAATGTCATTCATCAGAAAAGTGAGGCCACTAATTAATATTAGGTAGGAGCATAAATGGAATTTGGGACACATTTTTATAATTTGTTCACCAGGCATGTAAGAAATTTTATGATATTTACATTTTCCCAGTGCCATATCTCTTGTTATAACTTCTGAAGTCCATAGAACTTTGTTTTCTTAATGTTTTTACCCTGGAATTTTCAAGATTTGCATGTATAGGAAGGAAAAAAATCTCTTGAAATCGGACATTATCGCCAATCTCTTGTCTCTGATTTTTCATTGCCGTTTCATTTTCTTTGTCCCTTCTTGCTCATTTTCCTCTACTTCACTCCTCCCAACACATTCCTACTCCCAGAGAAAGTTTCTAAAACACATCTTTGGAAATTCCAGTTTACCTTAATTTCAGCTGAGGAGTTGCATTGTTTTTGTATGCTGGGAAGTACCATTATACAAATACCATTATAATGCTGTCAATCATTTACATTCTAGTATGAATAAGTTCCCAGGCACATTTGTTCCGCACACCCCACTACCCCATCTAGTTTCTGGAGGGACCATGAAGATAATGGATATTGGAAAAGGGTGCCATCAAGTGGGGAAAATGGCAAAAGAATGGGCAAGCTAAAAGCATTCGATGTGAATCTCATCAGCTTTACAGTTTTGCTTAGGACTAGGTGTTGTCCCCACTTAAAAAAATCCATTCTAATTAGTTAATCAGACTTACCTGCAGATAACTTTGAATAGACAAAAGAGAAATGGGCGTGATGATATTTTTTTAAAAAATACCCAATCATGCTTTACAAACAATCAGCACAAAGGCTTCCGGTTAAACATGGTGGATTGAACAGATGCATTTATATATGTTCCCTCTGTAAACCGCACTAAAATGATATTAAAGGATTAAAAAAGAACAAAGAGAATGGCAGAAGAAATGACAACAGACGAAAGATGTCAACGGAGATGGAAGATCAGGAAAGCAAAATGAGGGATAACTAATTTAGTGGCATGAATATGATGCCCAAGACCTTGGGTGAGGAGCCAGCCAAAAAAGCCACTTCTCTCTGCAGAACCCCAGAAAGCCACAGGAATTTGTAGGAAGCAGAAACCTCTAAAACAGGGAGTACAAAGTGGCACTGACATTCAAAGAATAATTTGAAAGGCTTTGGGCTTCCAGATTACCTCCTTCCCCTTTCAGGGCTTGGCGGCTACCTTTCCTCAACCCCTCAGAAGGTTGGAGGTTTGCTTTGGAGAGTGTGTGAATCAATTCAAGATAGAGACAGAAAAAAACCAAGCAAAATAAAATATCTGGGAAAACTTATAGAACCCTATGTGACTTCGCTGTGCAGATTTATGGTTGTAATTATGAATCATAGAAAGT